ATTTACATTATCCCAACATTGAGATAGGATGTCATAACGAAAATTTTGACGATCGAAATTTCGGAAATTTCTATTTGTAATAGAATTATGTCCATAAGACATTCCGTTCTGGGCAAATTTTCTATATACATACACCATGCTATGATCACTTATCCCGATGTGACAAACTCCCGAACGAACGATCTTATCTGAGCAGTTGGTATAGATTAAATCAATTAGAGTTGAAGAGGTGGGTGTTATCTTCGTTGGTTCAGAGATGAGCTGCTCGAGTCCGTAAACATCGGCAATACTCCTTAATTTGGATACGTTATTGTCATATCGAGTAGTGATCATATCACAGTTCATGTCTCCCAGTACAAAAGATTCTACAATTTCACTATCCAATTTTCCAATTAGGGATTCAAAAGGTGAAAAAATACCAATGGTCTGTACCAAGTAACAATCACAAAAGATTTTGAATTTGGATCATGAATTTCCAAGGGTAGAGCCTTACCACCAGCGTTTCAAGAAGAAGCAACGCGCATGTTTTTTCGAAAAGTGCCCGTGCAATTATCTAAGAGACGGGAGCTCGATGCATCACCTGGTGATTCAGTAACCTTTCAGGCTCTATTTGAAAACGACGGGTCCAAGAGCATGTGTTGGCCAGGAACACCAGTCCTGCAATTAAAGCGTGGCTGCAGAGTGATGCTCGTGTGATGCCCGTGATGACGATTTAAAGAACGGTTCCCTCGGTATTTTTACCGGAGTAAAAGGTGATGTCCTTTTGGTTGCCTTTCAAGAAGTTGGCATCGTTGAGATTCAAAGGGAAACTAGGATAAGAAGAAACAGGAATGGCCAAAAAATCGGAGGCGTGACCCAATTCCCCATTGTATTAGCCTATGCAGTTACGTGTCATAAGTCGCAAGGTTTGACGCTTGCCTCGGCAGTTGTACATTGTTCTCGTGAGTATGTGCCTGGCCTATCATGCTGCTGCAAAAGGAGCTTTGAAGATAACAACCTCATTTCAGTAAAGGATCGCTTCGACGCGTGCGAGGAAGACGACGAACCGTTCACTTTCCCGAGTGGTTTGCTCGATGGTCCTGTGCAGCAATGCTTTGAGGACGGAGAGGTTGCTGCCCCACTGGAGTTATTGGATGTTTACGACCGCATGATGAGGCATCAGTCAAGTCTAGCGAGTCCGCCAGAAGGATTTCTCATTAAAAGCCGAGATCACCTGTTAGCGATGAAAGCCTCGCCGACTTCAATTGCTTCTACGTTTTTGGAAGAAAAATACAGAAAAATCGACTTTCTGTTAACAGACACCTGTTGGGTCAAGGTTCAATGCCTTTTGTAATTGATATGGTTTCATTCATTTCTCATCATCGAAAACCACGTTGTAGAAAATCCAGACGAGATTGTCGTTAATATCGGAAGGCAAGGATTTACAGAGGCGACGTCGAGACTGCATGAATTCCTCACCAGCACTGAATTATCCCGCTATGTATGCATTGTCTTCGCCGTCAAAGAGACGACAATTTTCCAGCGGACTGTCGTTGTTGAGATTGCGAAGTTTATCTACTTCGAATTTCTAGAAACACTGGCTTCCACCGTGAGACACGATAGGGATGATAGGAGTGGCTTTCAACGTTCAAGAGGTGGTGGTTGGCAGGTCAAAAATTCGACATGTGGGTGGTTGGGCGGTCAGGAAAGTCCTCTCCCGGGCTAGAACCTACCTACGGAAAAACGTCTACACGACTTCGAGCTCTACGCTGGTCAAAGTTGAAACAAAGCAAAGGGCATGTTAGGTTCTGGAAGAAAACGTTATTCAATCTTTCGACCGACTACAAGAAACGTGGAAATTTAAAGAGACGCTAGAAGTAACGGAGGCAAGGCAGTATCGGCAAAGGGGCCTTCTCCATGTATCGGATGAGGCTTACCTCTTCTTCATGCAGCTGGAGCAAAGGAGAGTAGACTTACTGAACGTTAATGTTATGAGAAAAGAGCGCGAGAATATGGTTCAGGCGGCCATATGTAGACTTACAAGGGACGAAGAACTGAAAGAAAGTTGGATGCGATGTTTTCCAAGTGAAGAGATTGACAGGAGCGAGGTTTGTAATATATGCCTTATTAGTACCATGGGTTACAAAATGCTCGTTAATTTTGGCGCAAAATCATAGTGTTAATTCATAACCAAAGCTTATATATAACTCAGTTACGTAGTATTCTCGTTTCTTTCGCTCACCACTAGAAATATCCAGCTTATATTTTCGAAGCACATGTCTTATCAGTGGGCTATTAGCAAGGAATTCTCTCACCTTTCGTGTGGAAAGCATTTAAAGCTACGGTGGTAGGCTTCAACTTAAGCTAAAGTATCTCTTCCACACAGGATTTAATCGAAAATCTGCGGAAAGAGATTTTGGTATGTTATGTCAACATGGATGCATCCCAATTCTTGAGAGATTTCCGCCGTGGTGCCTCGATTAAAAAGAACGCGGAGCTGCGAAAACACATTTTGCAAAGACAGGAAGAAACGAAGGAAAAATCTGACAGTGTCCCATTCAAGGTAGCTGGAATTGCTGGCATTTTATTGTCCTTTTAGAATGCATAATGGCTAATAAGATAAGCTAAACACTAGAATATAGGGCTCGCTTATGTACATACAGTGGCGTGTATATATACTGTACCTTACGCGTCTATTCCTTACATGTAATGTATACAGCATAGATATTACAGCAATAATAATAGTAGATATAACTTCACATAATTTGCTAAAATTCCATGTAGGTTTCAATAGATAACAATTAACATGATAGTAAATTTAAATAAGTACAGTACATTTAATTGTTTTTCCACATCAGGAAATCCTCAAAGACAGGAGTGAAAACAAAAGGGCCTCCCACAGCCGATTGGTTGGCTTCATTCACCAACATCAAGGCACTGCCCCACTGAGTAGAGTCTACCTTAAATCGCCACTGATTGCTTTGTGTCAGGCATATGGTGTCAGAACTTCTTCAAGATCGACTAAGTTAGTTATTGCACAAGATTTGTTAAATGTTATTCCAGAACATGCATTTATTCCAAATACAATACCAGTTGATGACAGGCAGTTTAGGATAGTGAGAAACTCTGAGTCTGAAGGACACATCAGGATACTCTTTCAAAGAGATAAGCTATATATTTTGAATGGACACTTAAGGGTACAATTCATGCTTGTGCAAAAAACTTTAAAACCATTCCTACTATTTAAATAGGAAACAGTTCTGTAACACAGTACAATACAGTGTTAAAAGTCAAAGAATTTCATATTTTTAAGCCCAGTAATTTCATATTTGAATATCTTTCATGATCATCAACTGAGAAGTATGGATATACATACAATAACACATACATTCCCATACAAACTCTAACATTGACTTCCAAGGAAAACAGTAAGTTCACATACTTGCCTATTTTAACCATAAAAGTGGCATGTGAATATTATAAGATGAAAATACAAAGTATTTAACTGCATGATAAACTTTGATGTGAGCTTGGAATTGAAGGTCGCTGGCTTGTAAAGGCACTACTACAGGAGGCATTACTCTTAGGACTAATAGTAGTTTGACCTAGTCTAATTGAATTTTGTGAAGACTGTTGCTCCAAGAAGGTTGGGTTATCATTTTGACCATTACAAGAACGTATTTGACAGAAATGGTTCTCTACACAGTCCTGATTTACTATGGCAGGCTTGATTACTGAACTAGGATGCTTTAACAATTTGTAATGTACTAGTGACTGGAATCCAAGACACACTGATTTTAAATCAAACCATAATTTACTTGAGATGAATAGCTTGCCATCTCCTTGAGTGCTTTCTTCCCATGAGCACATCCAGTTATAGAAATTATTTAGCTTTTGAAGCCTTATGTCATTAGTGCAGGTGATGTAGAGCCTGTCATTGAAAAGTGAGACCAGCTCACTTGTGTGTTCTAACAGGCTGATTACTGCATCAAATGAGGAGTCATCCTCTCCGCTTGACTTCATACTTTCCTTATATTTCTGTATAGATACAAGTTCACAGATGTAAGCTACAATGTTGAAAAGAAAAAAGAAGAGAAATTAATATGAAAAGTAATACAAAAGTTATAAAATGCAGAGGAAAATATATTTTGAAAAGGGAAATGTAAGTAAAGTAAATTATGTTGTTTTTGTTGTTGTTGTTTTTTGGCAATTATGCAGAACCTTGTAGATACAATTTTTCCAATGAACTTTCATTTTAACAACATTAAAACTTGGAGTTGATTATTTTTGAGTTAATCAAATGAGAAGTGACTAAACTATATGTTAACAAACAAAACAATTACCTACATGAGAAACAGCATCTTTGTATCAAGTACATCTTCTGCGAGTCTGTTCCGCATTTTGCTGGCAGAATCAAGGTCAAAATGCTGCATGGTTAGTTTCTCATGCAATGGGAGAGAGAAGGTCTTCTGATCCCAGTTAAAAGCACTTTTGAACTGAGTCCATGTGATCTCCTTTCCATGGATCTGAAGACATCTTGGCTTGCCGCTCTTACTACTTTTTTCAATGTTGTTTCGTATCTTCTTGATATTGTGCTGTTCAATTACAAATTGGTCAAAGTCAGTAACACTTATAGCTTCATACTTCTGCTTTCAATTGATATCAGGTAACTGACTGACAATATTCTATAATAAACACTGTAGGCAAGCCTCAGGCAAACCTGCTCTTGAGAGTGTTTTAGATACTGTCACTTGCCTAAAAAAAGCAATTGGCTTGACATGAAAATGTTATTAGCTCAATATCATTGAAAATTGCTTAAAGCAAATATTTTTGTCAATTGCTCACTGTGAAGCTCAGAAAACCATGAACACCATAAATATATATGGAATGGTATTGTGTTGCAAGGAAAAAGTCAATTAGGAATGAAAAAACTAAACTGCAAACAGCAATGGAAATTAGTTTGTGATTTTGAAGTTTCTTTGCATGTCCTGAACTTTATAATTTATGATTGGTCAGTACACTTACTAACCTGTCAGAATCAAATCAAGGTGTTCATGGTTTTTGTTTTTTTTTTACTCGCACAGTAATATCTGAATAACAGATACCAAATTGAAAATATTGGGCTTATACTTCATAGAAGTATTGTCTATTACCTTTGGGTCCATGATAAACATCCTTGGACCACCAGTGTACTGTTTAGCAGGGTTTTTGTCATGAAAGTGCATCTTTACAAACTGCCTGCTCCAGTCAGCACCATCAAGGACACACCAGTACACCCTTTGAGAAGACAAAATAATACAAAATATAAGCTGAGACAAACAATAATGTAAAGATAACTGTATTAAGTATAACATTCATGAAATGTTTTAATTTGATATGTCTTTCCTATTCTTGGATCGTAGGTTCACAACTTCCATAATTCCTTCGAGTCAGTAAATTACATGGCAAATCAGTTTGTAAGTAATATGTAAACTCTCTTACTTAACATATTGTTTTCTTCCTAAAACAAAGCTTAATGTAAATGGCAATTTGTTAATGTGATACTCATACATCATGGTACTTGGGCATATTAATCAAGGCAAAATGTAGTGGTACCAATAATATTATTAAACTTGTAGCATCTAATTCACAAGCATTTAATATTAGCTGTGCAATTCAAACAATTATTGGCTGTCACTTTCCCTGCAAAACTATTTCACTTTAACTTTTCTTTTTTGATTACTCACTCAAATCCAATCTCCAACATCTTCAAGACTCCTTCCCAAAAACAGAAGTACAAGCTACTTGGTGCGCAAACCCCAGATGAATATTGAGCAATAGGGAACCTGAATCCATTGTCACTGACATAAATGAATTGCAGCACTTGTGTGGCAAGCTCTGGTTCATCACCTTAACCTGGAAGGAAGTGGCATATATTTGTTTTGTTTTTTTAAGCAAGTCTTAGCTGTTTTACAATTTTTATAGCAGTAAGAGAGGAACAGCATATATCTGTAATTCGTTTGAACTGCTTATACTACTGTAAATTGATATATGCATTTTCATGTAAATTACCTGACAATATATTCATTAGCTCGTGGCCCTTTCCCAGGTCAACAAATCCAACAAGCTTGTGCTTACCACCAACTGTTGACATCTCCAGGTTCTCCTACAATAGAGGGCATCAATTAAATTATGAACTCTAATATTATAACATGTCTTTAGTATAGTTTCAGACAAAACATAGCATCTAAGGGATGTCTCACATTGACAATGAAGTTTAGTTTTGTAATATACATCATTACAAATGAATTGAAAATGCTTTTCTAAAAAAAAATTTTCCTAGTACATCAATAGGTGATCTTTTTCTACTTTTGATGTTTTAAATTTACCTGAATCTTCATTTCGTCAATAATAAAATCACCCATAAAATCTTCTTGTTTCATCCCCCTATCTTTTGCAGCATCAAAGCACCATCTAATGGCATCTCCAGACCATCCAGGTCTCTCTTTAACTTTGTTTTTGTACAGCCTGTAAATGGATCATTGAACAGTTTGGTTTCTTGTTTCAATAGCTTATCCAAATTTGCAACTGTATTATTAAAATTATTTGTCACGACCAGGAGTGAAGGCAGACTGTGTTCCTCTGTGCAGTTAGGTATCACAGAATGTACAGAGATTTCATAAAGAAATGCTTTTTAATATTTTGCTCTATTTTAAGTAATCATTTGGTAGGCTGAAGAACCATATTTGTATATACTTACTCACCTTATTGTTTTGTTGCTGGGAAGAGTTAAAAACTGGCGGAGTGGGTCCAACACGTGGGGGTTTTTGCAGCACAGTTCAAGGCATAATCGCATGACCCTATAAACATAATAAAAAATATATTGTCTGTTTGGTACAAAGCCTATACTTAAAGATTGTGAATATGTACAGACACACTAGACCAATCAAATGTAACTTAAATGTAATTTCATTTTTCAGAAGAAATTTTAAAGTTGGAATATTATAATTAGATTATTTCTTTGAATTTCAAGTAAGTATCGTATCATATTACGTTTCTAGACATAGAAACTAGCCATTAGATTTCTTAGTAAGGATATTAGAAGCCATGTCAATAAAACCTAATCACTTACTTTGGATGCCACCTAAAACCATTTTTGCTTCCTGTCTGCAAAATTTTCTCTTGTTGTTTCCACAGGTCGGCCATCTCTTCGGGTACATTTTTTGCATCAGCAAAAATCTTGCAAAGATCCTTATGGTCCTCTTTTTCCATTTCCACACATTGCGAGAAATACTTCTCTCTCCAGTAGCTTTCCCTCAGAGCAGTGTTTTTACGTGCCTTCACTTCTTCAGTCAACTTTTCAGTTAGCTCATCCCTTGTCATGTATCTTTTGTTGGTAAAGGGATGAACTGCATCCCTAGATAACTTCCTTTTCTTTGATTTGTCATCCAGTCGTTTATTTTTCTGCAATTGGCACAACTAATGCCATCACTGCACTGGATGATGTGACACTGCTTGGAAAATACCTTGAAGAGGACATTGTCATTGTGCCTGTATTCTCCACTAACATGGGGAGACATTGAAGCGCTGGTAATTTCATTAATGTCCACGCCAGAACATAGTGCTGAGCTATCCACAAATTCCAAAATTTTGTGAACTCTTTCGCCTAAAGCACGTTTTTCCAAGCCGAGTAGATCAATCATATTTGTTAAAGAATACTCGCATCCATGAGATGAAATGGAATATCTTAGGCCTGAGAAGGATGAAATCTGTTCGATACAGACCTCGGTAGATCCTCGCTGATTTCTGAATGACCACGATTCGAGACGAACAAAGGACAGCTTGTTGTTCCCGCAAACGGTACCCCATCCATCTTTAAATTTGAGATCGTTGACTTTTTCCATGAAGTGGCTAAACGTTTCTGGTGGCGATGCGATTATCTCTCTAATCTTGAGGTTCTGGTAGAAAGCTTTCCGTTGCGTACGTGGTCCACGCCGAACCCTTTTTACCTTTTCTCCCTAAATGTCGTTAACGATTTTTCCAAGCGTAACTGAATTAAGGTGGCAAAGAAAATTTTCTTTTTCTACGCTTGCATGACTCAGGATTTCGCTGGCGTCTGCAAGGTTATCTGCCTCAAAATCGCAGTGAAACAAAACCCTAGTAATGAAGAATGAAAATTTCCGTCTGTCTAGCACAGAAGCAAAGGAAAAGTAATAATTCAAAGAAAAATAATTTGTACATTTGGATTTAAATTGTCCATTTCCATGCGTGAAAGTATTAAAACGGATATCCAGCAACAATACTTACCACGATTTCCATTTCAGATACGATCAAAACAATAGCCTCTTGATCGATTTCTACTGAGGGTACCCGTGGTTCTAAAAGAATTTATTGACGATAACTGACGGTATGGTCCCCGGCGAGGCTCAGTTTAAAAAGGAGGTAGGGTTACCAAGCTGGTTGTCAAGGATGTGGCCGCGGGCTGACAGAAATCTCTAAACTGGAAATTTTTGAAGCAAACTGCGGCTTAGTGTCGGTTGCACGGGGACGATTGAGTTTTTAGTGAATTGAAATGAAACTAAAGTATATGTACTTGGATTTTGCGTTGGATTTGTAGCCGCCCGGTCATTTTGAGCTTGGATTTTTCGCTTCTCGGATTAGGCGTTCGGAAATGGAGTGTTCAGCCTTGGGCTTTTCTTATGTACGTTGAAAACCTCGAAATGAACAACTCGCTAAAATGGGCTCTTTTCATCAAAGTAAGCAGTCAGATAACAAGTGATACACTGTGGAAGTAAGGTGAGGTATTTTTATTGAGAATTTGACGTATTTTTTTATTCCTTAGAGCGGTCGTAAATATTCCCATACAAACTCTTATAATTCCGCCATGACTGTTATTGCGCAAGATGATCATCTCACAGCTGGAGCTTGGGCCGCTTGTGGTTCTAGTGCTTATCACAAAGTTGGAACATCCTTGTGCTGAATTCTTGTGCCTATTTTGACAACATAAATTCATTGGTTTAATTATTAAACAGGGTCATTCAAGGGGGGAGGGGGGTAGTGGTATAGCAATACACCTGAAAAAAAATTACCCAGTATACTTAAAATTTCCCTCAAAATCAAGCAAGATACCAAAATTTGGAAAAAAAAGTATTCTTCATGCCCATTTACTTTTAACAAAAAATACTGTTTACCCAGTTTAAAATTCCACTGTGTACTGTTTACCCAAAAACCCCACTGACCCTGATTAAAGAAATAAACAAGCTTGTGGTTTAAAGTGACTTTTGACATATGATGTTCTTCCATATTATCTTCCAGAAACGGTTTTGGTTCATGTACAAAAAGATGGTAGAAAAAAAAGTGACACAAGGTTTCATCATTGATGAGGAGTATGTTCTTTTTTTTACCATACATAAGATGATGTGTTTAAATACCAAGGCACTTAGAGAGATGGCATGCAAGATATTAGAATTAAAACTTTACCACCAAGAACTAAATCTCTCTCTGACCAGCATCTTCTAAGGGACTGTTAGTTATCTGTTGCGAGGCCAGTGTTTAGAGTCTGGGGCCAGTGTAAAATTTTCAAATTGGGAGGAGGAGGGGGTAAACTTTTAGAATCTGTTGTTTCAACTATTATGTTGCTGATAGATTAATACATGCAAATTGTTGTTTTGAGAAAGCTATTCCCTCCAAGAACCAGAAGTCCTAATGTCAGTTTGAAGGTGTAAAAAGCATGTAGCTTCTGCACTGTACCAGCAGTGATTAGAAAATTGTCCCTCTTGTATAACTGCTTTACTTGCCTTATTACTTCCTTTTTTGGCTGAATAATAATAATATTATTATAACTGCCTCTGGCTATTGTTTAAAACAAAAATAATATTCTCATTTTTATTACAGTCCACAGTCAGAGAGAAACCAAAGTATTTTTACAAAAGTGACAGAAGTATTGAAAAAAGAGCATGGAGGAGAAAACTGCCAATGGACTGACTTACAAATGGAAGGTATGACATTACAGGAATCAAGTTTTAATGTTGTGTACAAGTTAGAACAATAAGCATTTATCTTTTAACCATTTTCCTTTTAACAGAGCTAAAGTGTAAATCAAACAAATTTTCTGCAATAAGTTGAACAGAAAACGTAACAACTGAGAGGGAAAACACAATATTACCAGTATTAATTCTTTTAAATAATATATATCCATAAGCTGACGTTACATATACACATAGACTTGTCATTTTATTGTAATTTTAGGATATCATGCAGTGATAATAATTATTGTTTTTAACTCAATAGCTCAGTTCTATCAGTACTTCAAAACAACTAAAGAAAGAGAGCAGAGGATAAGAAAAGGGAAAAATGAAGAGCATAAAGAAAAGTGCAAAAGGAGCAGGCGTTTGCTAAATGTAAGGACTAGCTAAGTTGTCTTGCTTCTACCATGCTAAACTTATATTCAAGAATAAATTTGCAAGATAGTGTGGCTGAAGCATGGCTTCTGAATCAAACGTTTCAAGTCAGTTTGACAACAAGTGTTGTTCAATACTATGGCAAATTTGTGCATGGCATTGTACCAACATAATAATAGTTTGAACACACAATACAATGTGGGAAAATATATAGCAACAAAAAATGAAACAATGCCATGCACAAATTTGTTATACACTGTATGTTGGACTGGTACGTTTACAACTGGTGTACAAATACACATTTATTAGGAAAGTCAACCTTGCTGGTAGTTAACCAAATAATATGGGTTTGCTTTAATTTAGTACTGTTTTGTAGCATGAATTTTTTTTCTGGGAGTTCTATTTATTGCTGATTGTTATTTTCATATTTTATTTCTTTTGTGGGATATCATTTTGAGTTAGAAAAGTATTTCTATTTGACAATAAATTATATGTTTCATAGATATAATTTGGTCTGGTCATTAACTAAATAGTGACTGAATTGTTGCCTTTTGTTCCATTAGAAACTGGAAAGGCGTCAGTCATCCTATGAGGTGATACAAGCTTCTATGACACCAAAAGAAAAACAGTATTATAGCGAAATCCTTCACATTGATTACATGAGCAGCGAAGAATCAGATTATGAGGAGCAAGAAGATTTCATTACTGGTGAAAAAGAAAAGAAACTTGCAAGATATGTAACCAAGAAGCTATCGTGGGAAAGAACGAGCTTGACAAATGCAAAAGCCAGGCTAGACAGAACCTACAAAAATAATTTGACCCCCCATGCCAAGGCAATGGCTAAGCCAAGGAATGTTGGTGGCATGTCAGAGAGGCCTGCACCTGCTGGCCCACTTTGGGCTGTCAGACAGATAAACAATGAGTCATGATTGAAAAAATACTTAACACTTTTTCTACTTTATATTCATTTATCATGTATTTATTGTTTTGTTAGAACAAATTATTGTCATCTAGATCACAGGGATAGTTTCTTCCAAGTATTGTTAAATTTATTGACTTATGATGGGGGAAATTTGTTCCTGTTAAGCATAAATAAGCTAGGTATGTGTGACATTTTAACCCTTTAACTCCCAAGATCTGATTGGTAATTATCCTCTCCAGCTGCTACATATTTCCCTGTAACTTAGTTATGAGAATCTGGTGTTAGATCAAGACAAAGACCTATACCTGATAAGTTTGAGAATTCTCATTATCTCTTTGCTGGATAAGGTATGGATATTTTAGGGGGAAGTTACTTGTTAATCACCCCTGGGAGTTAAAGGGTTAATTACAAATAGGCAGTAGCTTTAAGAATGTGTACCAGTGAATTTAAAATAAAAGAAACTTGAAACATATATTGTTTAGTGTGATACGTGACCTGGTGGGTGGCAGTTTAGTAATGAAACAACAAAACAATTAATATTTTACTGATCTCACAAATTTGATTCAAAACTAAAATAAAGCAACAAATTTTGAGCAAATTAATTTGCATTAAATGGTGCTTTGACAGCATTAAATGTTTAAGTTCTGTTTACTTCAATTAAATAGTACTTAAACATACAGGAATGTTTTGGACACATTCAATGTGAACTTAAACCTACATTATGTTTTAGCCTTAAGATAGTATAAGCCAGGTTTAAGTCCAACTTAAGTCTAGGTACAAGTGACTTAAACATCAACTTAAACTTATTAAACCTGAGTTTAAGACAGGATTAATCCATGTTTAAGGACACCTAAATATATCTTTTCTCCATGTGAAAGTCATGCAGTCACGATTTAAGCACTTGGGACACGTGCATTGTTTTCTTCTTTGGCAGGTTGTTTTGAAGGGTCCCAAACTTCCATTCATCAAGATACGTTGACAACATGGACCATTCCCGGAATTGCATATTTGCTCAGTATAATAATTTAATGACCCACTTCTTGTCATTTCACATGTATGAGCGCCACAAGTTTGTGTTCAAGAGTTCCGTATGCATTGCATGAGACATCCTTGTTCTCCACCGTTGCAATTCTGATTACATTCTTCCCCACCGCATTTCAGATTACATGTTTGAGCGTTACACTGTTGTACACAATGACTACCAGCGTGGCATCGCATATCACATTGGCTTTGTACTGCCCCGCTGCATGTTTGCTCACCTGAACCAGAATTTAATGAATAACTTCTCTTTAAGATACATTCACGAGTGTGGCACATTTGACTGCAGGTATGACCGATGCATTCCATTTGGCATATTCGCACTCCACTTTTGCAAGACACGCACCTTTGTTACACTCGGTTATGACGCATTGTCATCGTGCACAGAAATAAATACCATTTTCAGGGCTCTTTGCACATATCAGTGGCCATGGCCCATGCAAAAGTCTAATCTAATAAGTTCGGTCCTTTTTTTTTTCTTTCTACATTTGCAAAGTGGAAGGAGAGCCATCCAGTTAGTTATTACAGATTTCTTATATTTTTAAATTGAAATATCAGGCGTTAAGTTTACTATGTAATTATGCAGAAGAGCTTCGCATCATCACGATGGACCCTATGTTAAATCCCCAAATTCGCTCTCGTATCTTCAGGCTAACAACAGCGACATCAGATGCCAAAGCTTCAAGTCCGACAAGTCCAACGACATTTGCGAACTGGATAACTGCACTGACCAGGAAAGCGAGACCTGAAGATTTCATTCATACCATGTTTAGATATTACTATTGAAGATTTGGAAAGACCAGGGTGTAGGTATTGATACGGTTGAATGTTCACTGTGTCGAGGAGCGATGACTATTTTGCGATATTTTGCCGAGTTATTTGAGGACTGAAAAATATCCATAAATGCCTTTTGCTGGTGGCATTGCTAATACCATTACTGCTGTATCACAGATGTTGACGAAAGCCTCAGTGCTATCCATAAGTGCATCAAGGATTTGGCAACAATTGTAAATACAGTTGGATCCTACTACTGCTTTGTAGCCATAATTACACGGGAAAAGGAAAGACTATAACATAACTATTCGTAAAAGTGAGATCATATAATCATCGAAAAATGTTCTTAAAAAAATGAGCATTCCCATAAATGCCTACATCTCCACTTTTCTCCTCCATTTAGGTCCTGTTGAAACTTTTTTCACGGGCTAAAAATGGCAAAATAACTAAATTAGACCAATACAGGATAAAAATTGGCTTATACTCAAATCAGTTTACGTTTGATTATTACATAGAATGTCGAACTAATCAGTACAGACGACCAAAACCAGGAAAGCCCACGTACGTCAGTGGAATCAAATACTGTGACAATTACCTTGAACCCTGCTGGTTTCGTTTCCAAGGAAATGCAGGAAAAAAGATGTCGACCGAATATCAACCCATAATGAGATATTGTACGCTTATCACAGGTTGGCTGAACAGTTTGCTTCCGATAAACTAGTTTACAATGCTGTGAATACTCAGTTGTGATTCGAGTGAGAAACTGTTGATTGTGCTTTGTTTACTACCTAATTAAGACCCCACGATGTAACTTAGGCTATTGTGGATCTGATTGATAAAGATGAAAGTTGAATCATGATTACCTTATAACCTTTAGAATTCGATTTCCTCTCAACCCTCAGGCCTTCGGCTGATCCAGAGTGTTATAAGTAATTCTTGTTGTAAATATAAGCTTCTAGAAATCTCCAGATGCTTAGTCATGTTGACATGCATTCCATAGAACTTTCTAGAACATCTCATTAAGTCATGCAGTTATTACGTAATACTAATAGAATAGCTCTTTTGTAAGCTTCTGGAATGTTCCAGAACACTTTGTGAATGTAAGACTCACTTATATAGTATTAGAAGTTCTTGTTGTCGGGAGTGACTGACTGTTTAGAAAGCTATACCGCGAGAGAGAGCTATAGTGGAAGATTGCGAAAAGACTCGAGTTCGTCGAAGGTTATACATGTATGGTGGTTGGTAGGATGCGTCTTGCTGTTAAAAGATGTCCAAAGTTGTGAATGGGTTTCGTAACTCCCACTAAAACTCAAACAAAATTCTGCGTCGCTCTATCGAACTGGTACTTAGTTGCTTTAAAAATAAAACACCACCAACGCGACAGTTGCACCGCGAAAGCCGGGAGTAATGCATATCTTAATACTCCTCTGAATCACAACCAAAGTATGGGTCAGTGAGTGCGTGGTTCTGGCGTCTTTTCAATTACGTAGGTTGAATACCAGTTGTAAGATGATTATAGGTACCTTGTGTTACAAAGCTCCAAGCATTCGTTATATGCTATATTTTGTCTTGCCTCGATAACCTGTTTGTTATGAATATCGACCGCACAAGGTCCAAGAGTAGTTTTTCCCAACAAAATCAAGGCATTGTCAAGTGGGATTTTGGCGAACGTAAATAAGAATATTTAACAAAGGGAAAATATTAGATGTAACACCTAAACATTCAGAACTTTAGAATTGTATGGCAGATACATTTGTCAGAAAGGAGAGAAGACAATTGAGATCTTGGGGCCGAAAGAGTTAAAAAACTTCGCAGAATTGTCCAATGGCAGGGGTAATAGCGATTTCTAACGAAGCGAATGGAATCTATCACGCATCGGAGAACAGTGTGTGTTATTACTACTAGAGCTAAAGATAATTCGTAGAAGAGCAAAGCAAGCCCTCTACACCTTAATTTGAGTCATGATTGGTGCGAGAAGGAAGTTTTGAAAGGAAGTTAAAATCGAAGGAGAAAATTAATTTTGAGAGTTCACTGACTGCGTGCAATCTTTGTTTTTGTGTTCACACAGTGTAACTGGAGTAATTTCTAATGGAATTTTTAATCACTTAAATCATAATAATTGAAAAGTTTTTTAACTTTTGCAAGGTCATGGTAAAGAAAAGGAAAGTTTTTCCAAACACAATAAATTAAACTTTGTAGCGGAGCAATAAATATGAATAAGTCAGTAATTGACATGGCGATTCTACGATGTAACAATGATATTTTCGAGCAAATGAAATATTTTTAGAGAGCGTCAAATGGGTCTAAAATTATAATTTCTATCTGCTTTTTTTCTGAATTCAAATATTACCCTTTTTGGTTATGTTGATAATTTCGCGGGTAAGTAACGTTATGCCAAAAGTTTCGTTCCATTTTAAATGCGAAATGTATTAACTTGAATAATAGGTATCTAATTTCTTGTTGGGAATTCAGCGGATGGGAATCAATAACTGTTCCAAGTCATAAAATTCAAACACAAAAATAATTGTATTGAAACCTGCGGCTGGTGGTTGGGAAGCCATAACATTGACTCCAGATGTTTGTCGTGCGGAAATGTAAACACCTTCTTACATTGACACTGACGGGAAGATTACGGGCTCAGGGCACATGCATTACAGCGCACCACGGTCATCAGAACAGGGGGCTTCCTGTCGATAACTATTGGAAATCATAATACGCAAAGACAAAAAGAGTTGTATTGAAACCACTGGAGATAGGGAAACCATATTATTGACTCCAGATGTTGTGTGGGAATATAAACACTTTACAGGGACACATATGTACAGAATTACAGCGCAGCACGGTCATCAGAACAGAAAATAGAGAAAAAACTAGAAGAACCTAGAAACGATTCTCGAAACTTTGAAGAAATGTGCATCGCTACTAAAGGGATGCTTTTCATTTTCCGTTTTCCCTTATTGCTTCAGCTACTGTTGCTCCAAAGGTTTTCTGGACTGAGTGCGCAACAGTGCACTAGTGAAGAGTCGATCGTTGGCATGATGCTGCAACGACACATCTTTAAAATAATGAAGCCTTCCACCTCACTCCATTGTCTTCAGGCCTGCAACGGCCACGTTAGGTGCCAAAGCTTCAATTACGACTTCTCTGACGGCATTTGCGAACTGAATAACCACACCAAGGAAGACAAACCTGAAGATTTCATCCCGA